ACTTAAAAGAAATCCTTCTAAGAGGAAGTCATAAGTATTTATTAAGTGTTGAAATAGGATATCACCAACTATGAATGTATTATTCCCTGAAATTACAAGTCTGTGTAAAATACTCTTTGCAGTTTTTATTTGCCCAGTTTACCCACATAGTAAACATCTTTTATGCATATTAAGAATTGTCTGTTGTTTATTCTGTGGGTTTTTTCTATCATATACTATTTTCTAAAGGCTCATAATAATGTGACATAAACACATAGACGATGTTAATATATGTGTGCATGTTTGATTACGGACTAACATTTTTGACTTAGTAAGCTTTTAAAATGAGCCGTAATGTTTTCATGTCATTATTAAATGTAAAAATCTATGTGTAAAAAATTAAGCACATATAGTAATAATAATAAAATACCACGTCTGATTTCTTTTTTTTCTTTCTAAATTAAGTGAAGGTGACCATTCTTACTATGCAAACTAAAGGGGATACAAAAATGTTAATTAATGGACTATATTATGTACAGGAACATTTTATAAAAAGTAAATTAGAACTTTCAACAATTAATATTTTGGAGATTGTAAATTCAGTCATAGCCCATGGAATCTAGTTCTATTTCTAACCCTTTATCTGCCATGGCTATAGTTTCTTTTTAATTATAAAACTAAGATTAACAAATATGATTGTGGCTGGGCACGGTGGCACATGCCTCCCAGCACTTTGGGAGGCTGAGGTAGGAGGATTACCTGAGGTCAGGAGTAGGAGACCAGCCTGACCAACATGGTGAAACCTCATCTCTACTAAAAGTATAAAAAAATTAGCCAGGTGAGGTGGTGGGCACTTGTAATCTCAGCTACTCGAGAGGTTGAAGCAGGAGACTCACTTGAGCCTGGGAGGCAGAGGTTGTAGTGGGCCAAGATGGTGCCATTGAACTCCAGCCTGGGCAACAGAGCAAGACTCCGTCTCAAAAAAACAAGCAAAAATACTCAAATATGATTAAATAAACTTAAAAGATGTTATACAAACCTAGGTGGAAATCTTTTTCTAAGGCAAGCTCAACACTGAGTCTTTTTAATTCTATACAACAAAGCCACGAAAACCGGTTTCATACATCTTTAGACTGTCAGAGTTTAAGTTTAAAACACTAATGACAGTTTTTAAATAAATTTTATACAAAGCAAGATCAAATTTTGTGAAAATTTTCTTACCTCAGCTGTTAACTTCTTTTGCAGAATGCTAAATTCTTGTTCTAACTGGACATTTTGGTGATTTGGCTAAGAAAGCAAAGTGAGTGGTTCAGTTCAGATTTAAAATGTTCCTCTAGCAAACCGAAATAGTTTCTATAGAAAAAGAGGAAGTTTATCAATAGCTGGTTCCGGAAGTGCAATAAACCACAAAATGACTAAGAAATATATTACTTTAACAGAACTTATTTTGAAATATATTTTGGAGCCCTATGATTTGAGTGCTTTTAATTAATTTATGTAAATAAGTATTTGAGACACTCTAGTAATATGATCATATAATTTAAATATTTAGGATGGAGTCCCGAAGACAAAATTACATGTTCTAAGAAGAAAAGCTGCCAGTGGGGTTATCACTTATAGTGAGATTTCTTCTCATAAGAAGTGAGTGGTGTGTTCTGTTTACTTGTATGACCTTAGGCAATTCTTTGCACTTCTCGGTCACCGTTTCCTCCTCTGACGGAATATTTTATTGGGTTACTGTGAGGATTAAATAAGATAGCATAATATAACATGTATAAATGCTTCACACCCTTGGTTACTGTAGGTAACCAATAAATATAATGTAATTTCTTCATAATATAAAAAGCCCAGGGTAAAAGTATAATTAAATCATTTTGCGAATGACAGGATCTCATTCTTTTTATGGCTTAATAATACTCCGTTGTGTATATGTACCATATTTTCTTTATCCATTCATCTGTTTATGGACACTTAGGTTGCTTCCAAATCTTGGCTGTTGTGAATAGTGTTACAACAAACGTGGGAGCACAGATATCTCTTTGTACTGTTTTTCTTTCTTTTGCGTATATACCCCGCAGTGGGATTGCTGGATCATATGGTAGCTCTATTTTTAGTTTTTTGAGGAACCACCAAACTGTTCTCCATAGTGGTACTAATTTACATTCCCATCAACAGTGTATGAGAGTTCCCTTTTCTCCACCTTCTTGCCAGCGTTTCTTATTGCCTGTCTTTGGGTATCAGCCATTTTAACTGGGGTGAGATGATGTCTCATTGTAGTTTTGATTTGCATTTCTCTCATCAGTGTGTTGAGTACCTTTTCGTATGCCTGTTTGCCATCTGTATATCTGTAATTAAACTATTTTGACCATATACTTTAATGATTTTTGAGTTCAAATTCACAACTATTTATTTGGTTACCCACAAAGTAGTTACTTCTCAGTGGAAAATCAAATAAATTGGGGATCATTTTTTAAGAAGTTAGCTAAAGTTAAGTTGTTAACTTTTTACTAAAGGATAAGTGAGGGGTTGGGGAGACGGTGGTACCAGTTAAGGAGTACAAAAAACAATAGAAAGAATGAATAAGACCTGCTATTTGATAGGACGACAGGGTGACTATCGTTAATAATAATGTAACTGTACATTTTAAAATAACTAAAAGTGTAATTGGATCCTTTGTAACACAAAGGATAAGTGCTTGAGGGGATGGATACCCCATTCTCCATGATGTGATTATATCACGTAACATGACTGTATCAAAACATCTCATTACCCTTTAAATATATATACCTACTGTGTACCCACAAAAATTTAAAATAAAAAAAATTTCAGTTAACTAAACAAAGTATATTGAAAAGAGTGAGTCCATCTGAATAAAAATTTCTTTAGGTAAGTCACCTTTCCTCTCCTGAAAAATGGAGATCATAATTCCTAATTTATAAGCTTATGGTGGAATTAAATAAATATAAAGTATCTTGCATGGTGCATATTATAGCAGATATGGAATGTGTTAACCCATGTACTGCTTTTTCCTGGTCACTGCGGGAAACACAGGTTATTATGACGTGGTTCTTAACTTCAAGATACTTATAACAGCATAAAAAGAATAGCTTTCTTTTTAAGGGCTCCTACTGTAAAGCATAATATAATCAAATGCTATAAAGCTTTTGATTCACTGGTTTTTAGAGGTGGTGGTGGTGGTGCCGTTTTTAGAGACAGGGTATTGCTATGTTGCCCAGGCTGATCTTGCACTCGTAACCTCAAGCAATCCTGCTACCTCAGCGCCTCTAGTAGCTGGGACTGCAGGCACATGCCACCTAACTGGCTGGCTGGGTGACTGATTGATTGATTGTAAAGACGAGGATCTTACTTTGTTGTGTAGGCTGGTCTGGAACTCCTGGCCTCAAGCTCCTGACCTCAGGTGATCCTCCCACCTTGACCTCCAAAGTGTTAGGATTATAGGTGTAAGCCACTGTGCCTGACCTGATTCACTGTTTTTAAATCTCTGAATTAAGCTGGTGAACTGTAATACCCAGGGGTAGGAAATATGTTTTTGTTTAAAACTAAATGACTTTTAAATTTTGAACTCAAAAGATATCTTACCTACCATCTTTAAATACCTGTCATTTGGAAAGGAACCACTTCTGTTTGTTCAGTAACTGTCATTAGATAGTATCATTCTGAGAGTATATGTTTAATAGCCAAGATAGTGAATGGTAAATTTTAAATATTCTTTTAAATATTACTGTGGTAGAAGCTCTCTGTTTGGTGAGAAAATGTTTGACCAGTATGTTGAATATGAAAGTAATTTTCTAGTTAATTTCCTACTTTTACAAAGATACCAAATTTTTGTCATTTTCTCTAATAAGTATTTATTTATGACACTTGATTCAAGGAATGCTTTGTGTTATTACTGGATGTCCTGGTACACAATCTCAAATTTTTAATTTTTGCACAGAATGAGAAGTCTTCCCAGCTTCATTTCTAATCTGGGCCATTTTTCCCCTCAAAAGATAACATGATTTCAGTCACCATGACTGGCATGAATATTCTCATGCTTTTCCTTTTACTTTGTTGACACTTAACTTTATCTAGGATAATATTGTTATGATTTTTTGTTTAGGGAATAGATTTGTTTTTTATAAATTGCTAATAAATTGATAAAAATGATAATAAAAATTTATTTTTTCCCCTCTCATTTTCATATGTAACCTAGATGTTTGAAGCGATGGAACTTGTAAAAAGTGAATTTGATAACCAAGAGCAGTTATCACCTAGAGAGTTATGTAAAAATTACCAATGCCTAGAGGTCACCCCATTCCAGTTGCATCAGAAGGAAGACATGGGAATTAGGCATTGGTGTTTTTTAAAAACTCTTCAGGTGATTCTGATATGCAGCCAGGGTAAGAATCACTAGTTTAGAAGGAAGAGTAAGACTGTGGTCATACTTGGGAAAAAATATATTAAAAAGTTTTCTTAAATGACTAATATATTGTCCAAATTAAATGCTCAATAAGGGATGAGATTTTTGAAATGTGGTCTGTGTTAATTTCAGTAGATATTTGGAAAATCGTTCAAACCAATTTTTGTAATATATTTAATTGAAGATGGGGGTCTCGACTTAAATGTAAGTCATTATTTTACTTGAAGCCAATTTCTTTAAAGGTTAAATAATTACCTGAAGTATCAGTTTTCCAAATTTGAACACACACACACACACACACACACACACACACACACACACACACTTCTGTTTCCTTTGGTCATGTAACATTAGATAGTAAAAATTAATCACTAGGCTACTTGGCATCCTTGAAGTCCAAAAATTAATCAGCCTTTGGGTACTTGTTGTTAATGTTCCAGTGAGTAGTATTTATAGGAAAGATGAATATTATTAAACAGTAAAATATGCTTTGCTTTTACACTTAGCCTATTGATGTGGCTGTAAATCTTATTTCTTTTAGTTTTGCTCTATTATTGATCTTTACAATGTGTTCTTTAAAGTAATAAAGTGAATGCAAATATACATAGTCACAGGTTTATTCTAATGACTTTTAATTTATTATGCAAAATTAAAGGTTTAATTTAATATTAATAGTAGAAAAACACTTTCTTATGTGTGCCATAGGGAAAGATAAAAAGCACCTAGGCTAAAATAAGCTGTGTTGATTGATAAGCTGGTATGGATTCTGCCACATCCAGCAAAGAAGGTACCATTAAATTATACAGCTTAGCGCTATGCATTAGGAATTTGACTCTCATTTGATGTTAAAGCATGTACTTGGCTTTAAGGACACACTAAAACTCTTCAAAGTTTAATTACGTTCAGACAAAGATCATCTTATCACGATCGCTATGTAGGGAATATTTATTTAATTATCCCTTGCTCTCAGTTTTCTCAATTTATCCTTAAAACTTTCCTTAAATGCTTAGTTATTTTATTATTTGCTTTTTAAAAATATTCAGTGTCAAAACAAAAGGTTTAAGTGATTAAGAAGGCATTCTTCTCCCTCTCTCACCTGCTTGATTCTAAATTGCAAGGTCTACCATGTCAAATTTTAGATCATCAGAACAACACTTTGGCATTAAATACCAACTGACTTCATTTTTATTCCATAATCCTTCTCATTGCCACTTTGCAGTTTTCTTCACTAACTCATCTATTTGCCAGTAAGTTTTTCAGTTCCTTCTTCATCTTTTCTTTCCCTTGTATCTGTAAGCACTCCAGAAGATTGCATCACTAGGTTGGATCCTGTGAGCTGTTTTGCTCTTTTCCAAGTGTCTGATTCAGCAGGCCATAGACCGCTTGCCAGAAAATCGCCATTGCTTCTAGGCTGACGCTTGCCTACTTGTTTTGATCGTCTGAGAGTTGAGACTTTGTTTGCCAGAACCACAGTTGATAGAAATAGAAGGGTGCAGATAAGAAAAAGCACTGCAATTATAATTAAGCAAATTAGCATAGCCATGTTGTTGTTGTTTTCTACACAGACATCCTTTTTGAAAATTTCACCATGACTTTTGCTTGTGTTTTCAATGCTCTGTACTGTTGAAGGACTGTTGCTGACAACAGAAGGTAAATAAAGCTCCTGTTCAGATTTAGAAGTAAAAGATACAATGTGAGATGTTTCAGCCATGTTTGTAGAATTACCTTTATAATCTACTTCAGGAGTTACAGGGTTTGTGTTAATGTTTTCATTTTGGTTTCTGCCTGTCTTGTTTTGAGTAACTGAATCCCAGGAAGTAGTATTGTTAGCCCACAGATGGGTATAGTTTGCTTTTGTTCCAGGAGACAAAGAAAAAACTGTTGTCATCAGAATGGCAAGATGTAGGTAATGTCCTGTGTGTTCCATGTCCGTGGGCATACTGATGATCTGTTGGGACAGCAATACAATTTGTTAGTTTGTGAAAGAGTAATGATCCTAGTTTTGGTAATTGTAGTTAAAAGATAGTTGAGATGTTACAAGTAAACTACAAGCTCATGCCTAATATTCGCTACCCTGAATTCCATCTCAACTGAATTTCTTTCCTGTTCAGCTACATATGAAGAAGCATTTTAATTTCTATTACACTTTTAGACACTAGAAGTTAGCATTACAAATAAATATTAATCATTTTAAGTGGGATATTATGGCTTTATATAGTTTTCTCCCTTTGAAGCATGCCAGACTTCTGCTTTGAGTCAGTTAGTTCTCCTTTTACTTTTCTGATTCCTTCTTTAAAAAAAAAATTAAGGAGTATTCTTGCTGAAACTACCTACCCTCTAACCTGTCACCAGTTTTTACAGAAGAAATGTGGCCTTGAGCTTCTTGCTTCATGTATGAAAACAAAATGCAAATTTTTTGGTGGGAAGAGGGGAAGTTTGGTAGCAACAAAAGAAAATGAACTTCAAATAGGAATTCAAGGTGTTCTTTTTTCTTCTTGGGTGTTTATCCTGAAGCTTAGAATAAAGCTAGTAGTTAGACATTCGTAAGTGTATCTGTAAAAGCAGTTTTACTGGGGTGGTTGTCTCTTTTCATTTCTATTTCCCCAGACTGACTGTGTCTGAAGGCAAAGGCATACCAGTTTTCTCAACGTAAAAATCTGGAAAAAAAAAAAAAAGCAGCAGATTTCTTCTGAGTAGTCTTAAAAGTTCAACAAAAGTTACTGGGTTTTTTTAAAGCATCACTTATACCTAGCATTTTCTCTGATTCTGACATAATTCTTAAAAAAAGAAAATGTGTAATAAAATAGAAATAGAGCATCAAGATCTTGATGATTTAGGGTGAAGTGGCAGATTATAAGCATCTCAACATATAATTGTAAAAGTTGAATTTCCATTTTGGCTCTCAGCTTGCTGGAAGCCAGTTCAAAAAGGGGACAAGTTATATTCTAATTTTTTATTAACTATCATATGATTAAAGATTTAAATAGAAATGACATATTTTAGAATTTAACAGTTCCATGTACTGCTAACCCAGCAGGAAAGATTTATAATTATTATTGAGGTATCTTATAATAATATGCCAGTTTGTTTTGAGCTTCTTTTGAAGGTGTGTTTTATTGTTAGCATTTATTTGAATGAACTAAAAGCAAAACTGGATTGTTCTGCTGATATTTACTAAATGAAATTGCCTGGTTAAGAACCCTATATATATTATAGAAATTCTTCTCAAATGTACATAGAAGTCCTTTTTTAAAATGAAAAAAAAAAAAAAAAAAAAAAAAAAAAAGGCAGATTCTGACTTAGCTAGTATAGGTAGGGCCTGAAATTCTTTGTTTCCAAACCCACTCCTAAGCAACATGGATGCCACTGCTAGTCAGGCTTTTGAACATCAAGGTTTTATAAGAAATGGTTGTTGTATGTCATTGACCAACATTTGTATACTGTTAAAATATAGAAATTAAAAATAAGAAATGTGATGTGTTGAGTTTAACAAACAAAAGTAGCATGTAATAAACAATGCTAACTGCAGACTAACCTCTGAAGTAGTATTTCATATTAATAGTAGGGAGGAAAAACTCTATTAAATATTCTAAGATTCAGATTACTTTTTAGATTATGACCTGTAGTAGACAGTTAAAGAAAGACACAGGCCACTGGCTTTTGTATAATAGTGTTCAGCTTTAATTTTTAAGTTTAATGACCTAAATCTGGATGTTTCATGATTCTTTCACAAAAACAAATATTTGAAATTGGGTTAGCAAGTAATTTTCATCTTTTTATACTAGACTGGACTTCTGTATTAGATGCTAGAATGATTTAAAGTGGATTATTCTTGTCACATTAGTTCATTAACAATGTAGTATACATCACAGTATTGGTACACATTTTAACAGTGCTTACCACAGGACAGATAATAGGCCTGCTGTTGATTGTCTTCAGCCAGATGTACTGCAATGCCCAAATAAACAAACTGTATGACAAAATGAGACTTTCTCTTACCCTTACAAATGCCTGAGAATTGAGGACTATTTTTACACCAATTTATGCCATGGAGGTCAGGTTGTATTATCAAAAGTTTTCTTATCTCTGGTCATTTTCAATAGAATTTATAATGTCTAAGCATTAGCAATGAGAAATTTATTTTTTAACTTTTGAAAAATAACAAAACATTTCCAGTTTACTTGAGGAATTGAAACTTAGATCCTTCCTAATCCTAATTTAAAACTCCATGGCATTGGTAAATGTTTTTATTTCTAACATAAAATTTATGTAATAACACGGAAAAAAAAACGGTATACATTTTCAGTCACGATTCTAGTTTGTTAGTGAGAGTCTTATACACTTTGATAGCATTTCCTCGAACACTAATCTGTCAAAAGTTAGAAGTGAAAAGGCATAAGAAAAGCCATATATATATGACCTACCTTACAAAATGCTTGGTCAAAATCTGATTATAACGTGATTTTGATAAACCACTTCTTTTCTTGTCTTCTTATTTAAAGCAGAACAGACTTGTAGAAATGAACCTTAAAGTAAATCTGCAGTTAAAAAGGATATGTGCAGCTAGTTTTCCACTTATAAAACCAAACCACAGATGACACATTTCCTTTCCACTGCATTTAAAGCACATGTCATGGGGGGGAAAAAAACCGAAAAAACTCCAACTTGTCTAGTTGGCCACTGGCATGACAGGAGGCTTTGTAGAACAAATCCCCGCCTCCAGAGCAGGGAGGGTTTTCCACTTAATGCCTTTTGACAGTATGCTCATTCTATAGGCCTGTTACGTTCTTTTGAATGATATGTTAGTATCATTTAAAAGAGGTTTTAAAATGGTATTTTTCCTGCAGTATGTAAATTCTTCTCTAAAAGATTTATTTGAAATCTACAGACTGATTTGAAAATGTGAGTTTGGAGTCCATGGGATATTGGTTAGATAATAGAAACTGTGATATATATTATAATCTTAGAATTGTGGAACTGTAACAATTATTTGAGAAAATAGTAAACTTAGATTATATGGGACAGAAAATGCTTTTGTGTGGTGTAGTGTGTGTATTCTTTCTCTCTCTCTCTCTCTCTCTCTCTCTCTCTCTCTCTCTCCTGTCAAACATCCTGTCATCACCTCAAATTTAACATGCTGAAGCCCTTTGAGAACTGGGTATGCGCTAGATGCAGTGACTCATACCTGTAATCCCAGCACTTTGGGAGGGTGAGGCAGGTGGACCACTTGAGGCCAGAAGTTCAAGACCAGCCTGGCCAATATGGTAAAAACCTGTCTCTACTAAAAATAGAAAAATTAGCTGACAGGATGGTGTGCACCTATAGTCCCAGCTACTTGGGTGGCTGAGGCAGGAGAATTGCTTGAACCTGGGAGGTGAAGGCTACATTGAGCCAAGATCATGCCACTGCCCTCCAGCGTTGGGGACAGAGCAAGATTCTGTCTCCAAAAAAAAAAAGGAACTGAGTATGGCAGCACACATCTGTAATCCCAGCTACTAGGGTGACTGAGGTAGGAGGATCACTTGAGCCCAGGAGTGCAAATCCAGCCTGGGTAACATAGCCAGACTCCATCTCTTAATAATTAATTAAATTAATAAAATAAGAAGAACTTTATTTTTTCTTTAAAAGAAGCTGTCTGTCACAGTCTTCTTGTTTCTGTTCATGATAACAGCATTCTTTGTACTCTCAGAGGCTTAGTATAAAACACATCATTTTAAGTCCTCTTAGTCCTGATCAGACTTTAATTCATGTTGGTCCTTCCTTCATATTCTTGGGTCAGTTTCTTTTTCCCTGTTTTTCCTGTCAACAGTAGTATTTTAGATCCTTATCAGGTCATACCTAGACTACCTAGACTCTACAGTAGCCTTTTTAGTGGCCCCGTTTCCTTCATTTATCTTGTGTATACCACTTTCTTTGGTCATATCACCCCTTTCCTGGAAAAAAAAATTGAAAAATTCCCTAATACATACAGCAGTGATTCAGAAATGTTTGTGTACATAAACATCAGATGAGAAGATTGTTTAAAAACATAAAAACAAGACATGGTGGCTCACACTTTGGGAGCAGAGTAATCTCAGCACTTCGGGAGGCAGAGATGGGAGGACTGCTTTAGCCACAGGAGTTCAAGACCAGCCTGGGCAGCATGGCAAAATCCTGTCTCTACAAAAAATACAAAAAAGAGAAAAAAAAAACCTAGCCAGGCATGGTGGCACTTGTCTATAGTCCCAGGTGGGAGAATCACCTGAGCCTGGGGAGGTCAAGGCTACAGTGAGCCGTGACCACGCCACTGTAGTCCAGCCTGAGTTAAGGGGAAAAACAAAAAGACAAACAAAAACACAATAAAAATTTCTAGGCCCCACTGCATAGATTCATATTTAGTAGGTCCAGGCTGGGTTCAGGAAACTGCATTTTTATCAAGCACCACAGTTGATTCTGATGCCAGTAGTCCACAGAACATATGCTGAGAAATGGTGAGTCCCTAGGAGAAAACCTAAGCCCTTTGGTTGAGAAGTTATGGTCCCTTCACAATTTGGCTATTCTGTATTTTCCTAGCTTTAGCTCTCAAAACTTCCCTACCTGAATCCACCATTCTGGCTAGACTAGCTGTCTCCTCAACACATCTAGTTACCTATTTCTTTTCCTTTTTGCCTTTCTCTGTAAGGCCTGCCCGGTCCTCTTGCCGAGTTCTGCATTCCTCCTTACCCACTTCAGCCACGGTATCTTCTATGTAGCTCTCACTGACTGCCCAGTTTGATCTCTCTCTTTCGATTTAATAACTCGTTTTTCTTTCTCTTCCGATCTTTTTCCGCAACGAATTGAGACGGAGTTTCGCTCTTGTTACCCAGGCTGGAGTGCAATGGCGCGATCTCGGCTCACCGCAACCTCCGCCTCCTGGGTTCAGGCAATTCTCCTGCCCCAGCCTCCTGAGTAGCTGGGATTACAGGCACGCGCCACCACGCCCAGCTGATTTTTGTATTTTTAGTAGAGACGGGGTTTCACCATGTTGACCAGGATGGTCTCGATCTCTTGACCTCGTGATCCACCCGCCTCGGCCTCCCAAAGTGCTGGGATTACAGGTGTGAGCCACCGCGCCCAGCCAATAACAGTATTTTCTCTGCAGTTCTTTTGATAAGTGATTACATACTACCTCATATCTTTTATCTTGAAATATTTGTCTTGTATTAAAATGATTTGATTTGTCATATTTTTATCTTATTTTCTACCAACAAGATTGAAAACTCTGAGGTGAAGTTTTTATTGAAACATGATAATTTGTATATTTTAATGGGGCATGTATGATTGATTTTTTTTTGAGCTGGAATCTTGCTCTGTTGCCCAGGCTAGAGTGCAGTGGCGCAATGTCAGCTCACGGCAACCTCCATCTCCTGGATTCAAGTGATTCTCCTGCCTCAGCCTCCCAACTAACTGGACCTACAGGTGCATGCCACTACACCAGCTAATTTTTTTTTTTTTTGAGATGGAGTTTCACTCATGTTACCCAGGCTGGAGTGCAATGACGCGATCTTGGCTCACCACAACCTCCGCCTCCTGGGTTCAGGCAATTCTCCTGCCTCAGCCTCCTGAGTAGCTGGGATTACAGGCATGCACCACCATGCCCAGCTAATTTTTTGTATTTTTAGTAGAGACAGGGTTTCACCATGTTGACCAGGATGGTCTCGATCTCTTGACCTCGTGATCCACCCACCTCGGCCTCCCAAAGTGCTGGGATTACAGGCTTGAGCCACCGCGCCTGGCCACACCAGCTAATTTTTGTATTTTTAGTAGAGATGGGGTTTCACTGTGTTGGCCAGGCTGGTCTCAAGCTCCTGACTTCAGGTGATCAGCCCACCTCGGCCTCCCAAAATGCTGGGATTATAGGCGTAAGCCACCACGCCCCACCTGAATGTACATTTTGATACATGCATACATATGTAATTTTTAAATCAGGGTGATTAGGATATCCATTGCCTCAAAGAAAAGAAATTGTTCCGTCTAGCTGTTTTGAAGTATATGATAAGTTATTAATTAGTCACCTTACTATGAATACTAGAACTTGTTCCTTCTAATTATAATACATATGTATGTATTGTTTGATGCATTGTATGCATGTATCAAAATATCACACATTCAGGCAGGGCATGGTGGCTCACGTCTGTTATCCCAGCACTTTGGGAGGCCGAGGTAGACTGATCACCTGAGGTCAGGAGTTCAAGACCAGCCTGGCCAACATGGTGAAACCCCATCTCTACTACATATATATAATAAATATTTTTTTGAGATAGTCTCACTGTTGCCCAGGCTGAAGTGCAGTGGTACAATCTCAGCTCACTGCAGCCTCTGCCTCCCAGGCCCAAGTGATTCTCATGCCTCAGCCTCCCAAGTAGCTGGAATTACAGACATGCACCACCACACCTGGCTAATTTTTGTATTTTCAGTAGAGACAGGGTTTTCCCTTGTTGGCCTGGCTGGTCTCAAACCCCTGGCCTCATGTGATCTACCTGTCTCATTCTCCCAAGTGCTGGGATTACAGGCGTGAGTCACTGTGCCCGGCCCTTAATATATTTTTATATCCATTAACCAACCTCTGAGGTGAAGATATTTTTTTTTAACTTAGTAGTAGTATCACCAGAGTCATCACATATGGAAAACTTTGGGCCTAAGTTAATGTAGATTGTTTTGATTTGAAGCCTCGGTACCATTACTTGAGGGCTTTTTCATGGTCTTCACTGTGGCTGCTCATGTTTATTAGCATTCTTTTGGTTTTAAGCAACATATAACCTATGTGGCTTAAAAAAAAGGTATTTATTGGTTTATATAACTGAATAGTCCTGGGGTAAATTTGACCCCCGGAGAGGCTTTAGGGCACAAATGATATGGCCAGGGCTCCAGTTTGTCTCTTCATTTCTCAACTCCTTCTCTTCAGTTTTATGGGAGGCTCTTCTTTTATATCCCAAGATATGAGCAAGCAACTCCTAGGGCTGTGTATTCCTTTGTTTATAAACACCAGGAAAGAAATATCTCAAATTCCAACAATTTAAGCTAAAGTACCTGAACTGGGCCCCTTTGGCCCTGGTTGTCCTGATTTAAATCATGTGTTCATTGCTGGATCAGTCTCTGATCAGGGTGGAATAAATGGATTGGCTAAAATCATCTCACTCCAGAGCTCCAGATGGGTCATTCCCACCAAACTGTTCACCTTAGGAGTTTGGTGGACCTGCAGGCAACCAACTAATGCTCAGTGTTTTCTTCCTTGACTCATGGGCAAATTTTTTATTATTGATGTTGCTCAAAATTTTTGAATTGGAAATTTGTCTCTTCTCTTAGCCTTATTCCTCAGTGGCCAAAAAACAACTGATTTAAAAAAACAGATCCAGTTTTGAATAGTTGCTTTATATTACTCTCTCTAGAAAATGAATTGTAAAATAAATAAAATAGTAGCATCTGTATATTTATTCTAGGCACTGTTAATAATCTTTGTCTTTCTTATCATTTTCCTTAGGTTCAAAACTGGTCAAATCAATGGTGATTTGCTGATATACCACGTCTTACTGACTTTAAAGCCATATTATGCAAAGCCATATGAAATTGTAGTAGACCTTACTCATACCGGGCCTAGCAATCGCTTTAAAACAGACTTTCTTTCTAAGTGGTTTGTTGTTTTTCCTGGCTTTGCTTACGACAATGTCTCTGCAGTCTATGTCTATAACTGTAACTCCTGGGTCAGGGAGTACACCAAGTATCATGAGCGGCTGCTGACTGGCCTCAAAGGTAGCAAAAGGCTTGTTTTTATAGACTGTCCTGGGAAACTGGCTGAGCACATAGAGCATGAACAACAGAAACTACCTGCTGCCACCTTGGCTTTAGAAGAGGACCTGAAGGTATTCCACAATGCTCTCAAGCTAGCTCACAAAGACACCAAAGTTTCTATTAAAGTAAGTTTCAGTCTGTGTTTCATAAATGATTCATTGCTTTTCCTGGCTAGCTAGATTATATTCTGGCTTCCGTAGGTTTCCTATCTCCATCGTGGTGTATAAAATGTCATATAAGGCTGGCGCAGTGGCTCACGCCTATAATCCCAGCACTCTGGGATGTCGAGGTAGGCGGATCGCCTGAGGTCAGGAGTTTAAGACCAGCCTGACCAACATGGTGAAACCCTCCCTCTACTAAAAATACAAAAATTAGCCAGGCATGGTGATGGGCATCTATAATCTCTGCTACTCAGGAAGCTGAGGCAAGAGAATTCCTTGAACCCAGGAGGCGGAGGTTGCAGTGAGCTGAGATAGTGCCACTGTACTCCAGCCTGGGCGACAGAAGGAGACTCTGTCTCAAAAAAAACAAAAAAAAATTATGTAAGTCTAGATGTAGAAAGACCAACATTTGTGTCATCGTGAAGGTTCTGTGGAGGATATGAGAAGTATATATATTATTCTAGGTTAGGCTGGAAGTAGAATAGGGCAGTTTGTTATGTCATTCAAATTATAGGAATGTGTAGAGAGTAGAAATTACCTAATGAGAGTTGTTTTGATTATTATATGCTTTTTGCAGAGTGAGGAACATGAACCCAGGATAAAATCAGCATCTTTCTGGCCGGGCACAGTGGCTCACACCAATAATCCCAGCGCTTTGGGAGGCCGAGGTGGGCGCATCACGAGGTCAAGAGATCAAGACCATCCATGGTCTTGACCACGGCCAACATGGTGAAACCCCATCTCTACTGAAAATACAAAAATTAGCTGGGCGCGGTAGTGTGCGCCTGTCGTCCCAGCTACTTGGGAGGCTGAGGCAGGGGAATTGCTTGAACCCGGGAGGCGAAGGTTGCAGTGAACAGAGATCTTGCCACTGCAGTCCAGCCTGGCAACATAGCAAGACTTTGTCTCAACAACAACAAAAAAAAATCAGTATTTTTCTATAAGATTTTTTTTTTTTTTTGAGGTGGAGTCTCACTCTGTCACCTAGGCTGGAGTGCGGTGGCATGATCTCAGCTCACTGCAACCTCTGCCTCCTGGATTCAAGCGATTATTCTGCCTTAGCCTTCCAAGTAGCTAGGATCACAAGCACACACCACCACGCCTAGCTAATTTTTGTATTTTTAGTAGAGACAGAGTTTCACCATGTTGGCCCAGCTGGTCATGAACTCCTGACCTCAAGTGATGTGCCTGCCTCAGCCTCCCAAAGTGTTGGGATTATAGGCGTGAGCCACCGTGCCTGGCCTTCTATAAGATTCCTGTCCTTTTTAAAAAGCAAAATTAAAAATAAGTTTTTTGTTTCTGAGAACGTTTATCATAAGAATTACTGAACCATTTGAATATATGATGGTGGGAACTCTTCCTTAAATGGGATAGTGTTTTGTTTGGTTGGTTGGTTTTTGGAGCTTTTTAGAATTTTATGTAAAGGAATTTAATTCTTCTCCACTTCACCCCCTCACCACCACTTTCCAGGTTGGTTCTACTGCTGTCCAAGTAACCTCAGCAGAGCGAACAAAAGTCCTAGGACAATCAGTCTTTCTAAATGATATCTATTATGCTTCGGAAATTGAAGAAATCTGCCTAGTAGATGAGAACCAGTTCACCTTAACCATTGCAAACCAGGGCACACCGCTCACCTTCATGCACCAGGAGTGTGAAGCCATTGTCCAGTCTATCATTCATATCCGTACCCGCTGGGAACTGTCACAGCCCGACTCTATCCCTCAACACACCAAGATTCGGCCAAAAGATGTCCCTGGGACACTGCTCAATATTGCATTACTTAATTTAGGCAGTTCTGACCCAAGTTTACGGTAAGTTTTTTTTTTAATTCACTTCAGTTTTATTTGGGGTTTATTGCTTTTAAAATGAGACCATTTAATAAATTTTAAAGCAGGCTCTACCTTAATATTATAAATTGGAAGGTATGCAGTGTGGGTTAACCACTGTGATCTCATCAAGTTATGGGGGTATTCATATCAACTGTGGAATTCCAAACAGGGTGATTCACACTAAACCAATATATGTTCTTTCTCCAGGAAAATTTCATGTAAAACAAAACAAAATAGCAGATTTTTTTTCCAAAGTAATACCCTAAATTGAGTTTTTTTCTCCTTTGAGTCCTCTAATTGTTTCCATTTTCAGAAGTATATCACTATTTAGTTTAAAAGTCAAGTCAGATTATCACTGTTTGACAAAAAAAGGCCTAATGTTCAATAACTTGGTAACAGTATTGCATACTTTCCACCTACGTCATCTTAACAAAATTCTCGAAAGATATCTGAAGACAAATACATCATCTGAGCAGAGTATAATTGGTTCCGTTTAGGCTTAATAATTTGAATGTGCACATGAAAAGCATGGCTGTGGAGTCAGTAGATTTGGTTTGAACAGATCTGCCACTTTCATGCTGTGTACTTTGAGCAAGATACTGTACTGAAGTTCTCAGAGATCTGGTTTCCTCATTTAAAAAAAATAAATAAAGATAACTGCGTTCCTCATATACCTACAAAAGCTTAATAAATAGTATGTTTGGTAGTATAGTATAGCAATCTAGCAAATAGTTTATGCTTAGTAAACAGTGTTTTATTCTCTTATCTTTTCCTCCCTGCCAACATCTCTTTACACCCTTTTTCCCTTTTCTCCCATCTCCTTACCAAGTTAGGATAATTCTTTGTCTCAAATACCTTGAGACTTTCAAGATTTTTTACAGATGCGAATTCTTAGCTTCTGAAAATTTTCCCTGAAGATAACATAGCCCATGTTTTGTAGTGGGCCTTTTAGGATTCCAAATTCTCCTTTACTTAAAAGAAAAAAATCAAGATTTATTTACTTGGATGGGCTTTAGAAATTGTACATAAGGCCAGGCGTGGTGGCTCATGCCTGTAATCCTAGCACTTTGGGAGGCCGAGGTGGACGGATCACGAGGTCAGGAAATCGAGACCAGCCTGGCTAACATGGTGAACCCTGTCTCTACTAAAAATACAAAAATTAGCTGGATATGGTGATGTGTGCCTGCAGTCCCAGCTACTCAGGAGGCTAAGGTAGGAGAATCGCTTGAACCTAGGAGGCAGAGGTTGCAATGAGCTAAGATCATGCCACTGCACTACAGCCTGGCAACAGAGCAAGACTCTGTCTGAAAAAAAAAAAAAGAAAGGAAAAGAAAAGAAAGTGTACAAAAGATTTTGTGTATGCTTTGCTTCCTTATCTCATAGGTGTCTGTGACACCTATCCTAGGCGAGGAAGTCTAGTTCTTTATAACTGTTGAAATACACAGAATAAAAGTTAATGTTAAAATTGTATAATTTAGAATTCCTGGGAATTAATAAAAGATACAAGCTGAGCACAGTGGCACATACCTGTAGTTCCAGCTACTCAGGAGGCTGAGGCAGGAGGACATCTTGAGCTCAGGAGTTCAAGGCTGCAGTATGTTACAATCATGCCTGTGAATACCCAATGCACAGCAGCCTGGGGACCATAGTGAGACTCTGACTAAAAATTTTAAAAAAAGAAAAAAGATACATAAACTTAGAAACAATAACACTAATAATCACATTTTAGGAAAATAGAGCTATAAGGCTGCCTTTAATTTCTAATTCAAAGATATTCATAGACAAATACAAACAACCTTTTAACAGTTATTAGCCTGGGTAAACCTGCATTCTTCTCTAGTGACCTCAACCAACATGACAGCTTGTGCTTTTTGCTGAAGCATGTCATCCCAGAGAAGAAGCCTTTAGGCAGACTTAAATTCCAGTGGCTTTTTCCCTATATGGTGATTGCATAAATATATTAGTATGATAAACAGAGGTAAGGAAAACCTGAAATTTACTGAGCAAACTATTTCCTTTACTGGACAGGGGAGAAAATAAAAAATTTTAAATTGAGTCTAGTATTTTAGGCTATCTCCTAAATTGCTTAGCTATATTTTCAGACATTTGTAAGTGATGTTGGTCTGAATGAAACCTGAGTATTACATGTTTTTTCAGTTTTGGTGGCTGTGTATGATGTAATGAGGTCATAGAGGGAAAATTGGGAGGACTTAATTTTAAGTTAATTTTGTTTTTAACCTCCAGTTTGTAGGGTAACTTGTAGGACACCCAGAAAGAAGATGAGCAGATCTTGATTAAAGATTTTCACATGCTAATTTGATGAAGGGAAGGACCATCTGATTTCTCTCCTTATGACCCCCACTGGATTTAGTGGGAGAGGGAACCAGAATTTGAGTTTTGGCTTTACTAAAAATGTATGATGTGCCTTATTCTGACTTAATTTATATTGATCTGCCTTAGAACCATTAAGTCCTCTCATATTTTATGTCCCAGTGAGATTTCTTTTAGGAAAGCCTACACCCCCCGTCATAGAAGCCTCACAGTGCTCTTATGGTTATATCAAGAGTCTCCCTTTTTATAAAATCCCTAAATGATCAAGAGGTATTTTGGTTTTTTTGTGGAATTATAACATCTTATTTCTAATTGATCATAAAATTTAAAAATAGTTTATCATACTTTGTAATAGAATCACAGTTGTATGTTATGAAAAAGTTTTAGAACTATAAGGAAAAATACGTTTTAAAACAACTTTGTTTGTGTTTTCTCCTAGGTCAGCTGCCTATAATCTTCTGTGTGCCTTAACTTGTACCTTTAATTTAAAAATCGAGGGCCAGTTACTAGAGACATCAGGTTTATGTATCCCTGCCAACAACACCCTCTTTATTGTCTCTATTAGTAAGACACTGGCAGCCAATGAGCCACACCTCACATTAGAGTTTTTGGAAGAGTGTATTTCTGGATTTAGCAAATCTAGTAAGTAATGATAATTTTCTTTAATACTAACGATTATTCTAAGAAAATTCAAAGAAAACCTTTCATTTCAGAGTTTGCCAGTGAAGCCTTTCACTTATATTTTTACTTTTCCTCCTCTTCTGATTTTACATCTGTGCTACCCTGTAACTGCAGGAACTCTGAGGGAACTTTTTGGTAGGCCACATTGAGAAATCCACCAAAATTCTGACAATAAAAGCAAGCTGGCAAGGGTTTGGTACCTTACACACCTCTGGACCACTTACAAAGTATTTTCTCCACTGTTACATTTTCATTAGCTTCAGTTTCTCTTCTTAGCAGAAAAGTCCACATAAGTATCCATGTTGCCTTCTTCATTTTAAGAAGCTAGCCATTTTCTTTTTTCTTCAGGTTGACTTTGAATGATGATTTTATTGTACATGTACAGTTCACAAAGAGCACAGTGGCACGTAATACAGGGTCCAGGGTCAGTCCTGACTTAGTTTTAACTAAGTCTCCTAAATTTAACATCCACTCTTTATATTTGTCCATCTTTATAACCTATAGTAGTATAAATGATCTTCTCCCGCAGTACTTCCTGACCTTTTCTTTCCTTTCCTTGTAATACATAAAACCTTTTTTTCTGCATTCAAACACATTTTTTGATTTTTCTATATTAGATAATTAAAAGCCTCAGCAATTCACTAAGATTATTTTCAAGTAAGAAATATAGGAATATAACTCTAACAAAAAAAATGTGTAGGACTGACAAAACAAGAAAAGTATAAACTTTATTGATAAATGTTAATATAAGAAAAGATTTGAGTGAATTTAAAGGCATATTGTGTTCCTGCATAAACAGTTCTTCCCAGATTATTACAAATTTAATGTAATTTCATCAAAATAACCATGGGATTTGAGGATTGAGAATGGATCTAGAACTTAAATGATTCTAAATTCTACATAAAAGTGCAACAATAGCTAAGAAAATATTGAAAGAGACTGGAGACTTGACAGTACAGATGTCTGAACACTTTATAGCAGTACAATAATTAAAACATATGTGTACAAATCAGCCATCAGATCAGTTTAAGAGAAACAAATTAATAAACACCATAAACTGATTGGGGAGAGATTAAATCATTTAAGAAATGAAGTTGGGAAATGACTTCAGTGAGGTCTTCATCGTGAAGACCTAATTCACCATACACCACAAGATATCAAGTATGTTCTACCTATATTTAAAAGTTGAATAAGGCTGTGTGTGGTGGCTCCCACTCGTAATCCCAGCACTTTGGGAGGCTGAGGCAAGAGGATTGTGGCTGGAGGATTGCTTGAGCCCCTAGGTCAAGGCTACAGTGAGCTATGATTGTACCACTGCGCTCCAGCCTGGATGATAGAGTGAGACTGTCTCTAAAAAAAAAAAAAAAAAAATTTGTATATAAAAACTTGGAACCATTTTAAAAAGAGGAACAAGTGAATATTTAATTGCTTTCTAGGTGAGTAAGAGCATATGAAGTAAAGTGATAGAATGAAACAAAGAAAACAGCGAACAGATTTGACTACATAAAACTTCCAAACATCTACTCAAAAATAAACAAAAGTGAAGATAATTAAAAACTAGGAAATATACTTGGAGCAAATATGAGAAAAGATTAATATCCTTAATCATGAAGAGTGTTTACAGATTAATAAAAAATGAGTTAACAGTAACATAAAGATCATGTTTTAAAAAAATATTTAGGCCTGGTCCCGTGCTTCATGCCTGTAATCCCAGCACTTTGGGCGGTCAAGGTGGGTGGATCACAAGGTCAGGAGTTGAAGACTAGCCTGACCAAGATGGAGGTATCCCATCTCTACTAAAAATACAAGAATTAATTGGGCATGGTGGTGGGCACCTGTAATCCCAGCTACTCAGGAGACTGAGGCAGGAAAATAGTTTGAACTTGAGAGGTGGAGGTTGCAGGGAGCCGAGACCGTGCCATTGCACACCAGCCTGGGTGACAGATCGAGAC